ACCGGCAGATAACTTGTGATGTTAGAGCGTTCACAAGGTTCAATAAAGTGAAACAAGGTAGGGTGACCTACCATAAATAAATATCTCCAAATATCTCGACAATTACACCACAATATTTATATATATACAAAGCCTTAAATCAGTTTCACACAATTAAAGTCACTAAATAAACGATCATGTTGTACTTAATAAGCTATGACCATTTAATCATCTATAAATAATAGACAAACTTGTTCCAAGTGTCATCCATAACATCCAGACACTTTTGAGTAAAAGATAGGTTACGTGCGTTTTGAAATTAGTCTCTCTTAACCAGTGTACTGACCATTCTACGTCTGATTGACAGGTCGGGATAATCAAGAGTACCTCTTTACGAAACATAACAGAAAGCTGGAACAAGAAATCGAATTTAGAAACACGCACGTTAGCCAGCTCAACAATTGTTTTAAGAAACTTGTAAAAGTAAAATGAAACTACTGCTAGTATCATGTTCCTGCTAACGAAAGTGATTCAGAGATATTATTTGTACTAAACCAAAAGATGCCACTCTTAACGGTACAGTTAATGATAAAGCAATTTAAAAAATAAAACGAACGTAATTTCTAAAGCTGCTGTAATAACCAAGAGGCTAAATTTTACTGCTATTCAAAATCGTCAACAATAGAATTTTTACGGCTGTAATAGTTGATAGATTTGTAGAGAATTGCACATGCCATGGCTATTTATACTATTATACACTCCACCGCTGATAGTTCGAGACACAACCACTGAAGCTTGCACGGGTCACCCTAAACAAGGGCCATAACTCTAGACGTAATAACAGGAATTGCTGAAATTCAATGGGCTTCTTCGTTTCACTAATTTAAATAATGCATATAAATTTCAGAAAGATTGGATGATAACTTTTGGCGTTAGAGCGTTCACAATGTTCAATAAAGTGAAACAAGGGCAATAACTCTAGACGTAATGAACAGAAATTATTGAAATTAAATTGACTTCTTCGTTTCACTAATTTAAATCATGCATATTAATTTCACAAAGATTGGGTGATAACTTGTGGCGTTAGAGCGTTCACAATGTTCAATAAAGTGAAACAAGGGCCATAACTCTAGACGTAATGAACAGAAATTATTGAAATGAAATAGGCTTCTTCATTTCACTAATTTAAATACATGTAATGCATATAAATTTCACAAAGATTGGGTGATAACTTGTGGCGTTAGAGCGTTCACAACGACATGCGTCAATATCAATACATACATGTATATTTTAAGTTACATCAAAATCGGATAAAAATTGTAACTTATAGAGAGTCCACAACCTCTGTATAAAGGTGAGTGGCCATTCTGTCAGTCTCCTTCTGATTTTCACGAAATTCAAACTCGGTCGTAATTATGGTGTAACAATGATATATTTTGAAGTTTTTGAAGTTAAAGATAACGAGCTGGTGGCCAGTCAAGATACGCCCATATTCTGCAAGAGATGGATAGAGAACAAGCTAAAAACAAAAGCGATTTCTCGTACAATCATCGGCCATAATCTGAGATCTTTGGGACATAAACATATTTTTAAGTTTCATCAAAATCGAGTAAAAATGGTGAACTCTGGTCCACTACATGTACATTCATATTACATACTTTTACATGGGGGGTGGATGGCAGAATGGTTAGCGTGACAAGGAGAAGGGTCGCCTGCCCAACCATGTGGGTTTTCACCGGGTCCTTGCACTGCTAAAGACCCCTACACGCAAGCAAATTATTGATATAAAAATGAACCATAGGTTAGTCCCGAAATGACCAGGTTTGTGTTGAGTGGATGTTAAACGCCCTTATTCTCGCTCTCTCTTACAAAGAGCGGCCATTTTGTCATGCAGTTTTGTTTCAATTTTCCAGAAATTTGAATTCAACCTTCATTATGGTGGAATGGTGATACATGTATATTAAAATGGTTTTTAAATTTGGATAAAAAATTGTGACCTCTAGAAAATCCACAAGCTATAAAAACAAGATTTTTCGTACAATAAGCCTGGGGCATAATCCAGGAAATTACGGTCTGTCTAATATACCCAAATAGCGAATAGAACCGAGATATTTGGGACATAACATATATTTTAAGTTTCTAGGGTGACCCACCATAAATAAATATCTCCATATATCTCGACAATTTCGCCACAATATTTATATATATGCCAAGCCTCAAATCAGTTTCACACAATTATAGTCACTAAATAAACGATCATGTTGTACTTAATAAGCTATGACCATTAATCATCTATAAATAATAGACTGAAAACTGGTTCCATGTGTCGTCCATAACATCCAGACACTTTTGAGTAAAAGATAGGTTACGTGCCCTTGTTTTGAAATTAGTCTCGCTTAACCAGTCTATCGACCATTCTAGGGCTGATTGACAGGTCGGGATAATCAAGACTACTTTTTTACGAAACATAACAGAAAGCTAGAACAAGAAATTGAATTTAGAAATGAGCACGTTAGCTAGTTCAACAATTGTTTTAAGAAGCTTGTAAAAGTAAAATGAAACTACTGCTAGTATCATGTTCCTGTCTAACCCGAGTGTTTCTGAGATATTATTTGTACTAAACCAAAAGATGCCGCTCTTAACGGTACAGTTAATGATAAAGCGATTTAAAAAATGAAACGAACGTAATTTCTAAATCTGCTGTAATAACCAAGAAGCTTAATTTCACTGCTATTCAAAATCGTCAACAATAATTTTTTTACGGCTGTAATAGTTGATAGATTTGTAGAGAATTGCACGTGCCATGGCTATTTATAGTATCATACTGTCAGAAAGTTGGCCTCGACACGGCGAATGTGCACGCTTCAGTGGTAGTCTCGAACTATCAGCGGTGGACTGTATTTCTGTAGGTGCGTGGGCCACCCTAAAGTTTCATCAAAATCTGATAACAATTGTGACTTCAAGAGGGTTCACAACCTTGGTATGACATACTTTTACAAGGAGTCGCCATTTTGTCTGGCAGTTTTGGTCCGATTTTCATGGAATTGGAACTCTACCGACACTAGGGTGTAACGGTGATAAATTTAAATGTTTTTTAAAATTAGATAAAAATTGTGACTTCTAGAGGGTCCACAAGCTAAAATCATGATTTTTCATACAAAAAGGGACCATAATCTTGGGATTATAAACATACATTTCAAGTTTCATTAAAATTGGATAGAAATTGTGATTTTTAGAGTGTCCACAATCTTGGCATTGATAAGCAGTTTGATTGATTGATACTTTTGAAAAAAATAAATGTGTGATAAATTAATATGTGTCATCTATTTATTTTGGGATTTCGGTGGGGGACATCAGCCTCACTGTTGGCTTGTTTAGTATGAGTCATTCTATGCATCTATAACTACTCTCTGTCTATGGTTGTATGTAGTCTGACTTACAATATTTTTCTTTGGCAAAATTCAAATATTTTTCATATATACTGTATGAAGCCAGGTGTGCCGGTTTTTTTTTCACTGCTCTAATGTTTGGCAAATTAGAGCCCATCATAACAAACAAAATCACATCATCGTCAGTAATCACCCCATAATTGTTTTTTATATAAATTATATTACATCCCTGTCAATTATAGGCAACTTTGTGGCTAACATTTATAAATGAAAACACTTTATTTCATAATTTTAATTGATCAATAATTTCCAATTTAGTTTACTTTCTGACTGTTCATGTCAATAATATTCTTGATTAAATTGTTTATTCGACAGAAACTGAAATCGAGTATTTCTTGATAGTTTGGGATATCCAAACATGGTTTATCGTCTTTATAAAAATGTATTTAAAACAAAAAAATCACTTGTCAAAAGAGGCGTCGCAGATTGAGGGTATTATTGGGTCTTGTGTGTTAATTATGCAGACCATGGGAAAAATTCATGCAAGTTTCATCCTAAACTTAACCATTTTCACTGCATCTGTGTAGCTTCAAATAACTCATATGGCATGGTACCTTTTAAGGTACATGTAATATAATTCAAAGCGTTGATCGGCTGAGGCATGATCGCGATCTACATGTACGAAATGCCATCAGAAAATTCTATTCTCCATGGATTTCAAATGGAATTGTACTTGTGATTAATATAGTTAATAACTGAGAGTACAATGGTATGGATACATTGCCATGTGAATTTCAAAACAAAGCTGGGATTTTCGGAAATTAATTGTGTTATCGAGATGCATGATTATAAAATTCTGAATAGTTTTTGAACAACCGAAATAATATGCGAAGAGAAATAGAAAGACATGGAACTATCTGTCGATAATTAAACCAATCGAAGAAATCTGTTTAAAATTAACCACAGTTCAGACAGTAATTGAAGAAGTACATGTAAATGTATCAGAATAAGCTTAACATCATTGTGAATACAAAACTGCAAGCTATGTGATCCTGTTGCAGGACATCTTTCACTGGTCCTATTACAAGTAGCATCAATTTTAAAGGAAATAGTAAGCATACCCTACCTACTGCACGACAACTGCCTGCCACAAGCTGTTATATCAATTAAACAGAGTTTATGACTCTGGTGTAGCTTGCCAGTTGCCACAGATAAAAGTGGCTGTATTTAATTATATTTGATATTAAAGAAAAGAAAAGATACCGAAAGATTCAAGAGATCAAAGCAAAACCCAGCTGATCGGTGAAAGATGGCACTCAATTTGGAAATGGACTGCTCCGCCTTCTGTCGCACTGGAACTGCAGAAAATAACTAAGTGATGGCATTACAAGAGCCATAGTTACTTTAATTTTTCAAAAGTAATAATTTATTCACAGTTAACATTTCAAAAGACTCTCAAAATTGTCTCATTATTAGGCTATACTGATATAAATGTATGGCAGAGAACTAAAACAAAACCAAATAACACAAAGATGGCGGCGAAATGTCAGTTCATTCATCATGGATTTTTTTATTCTCCTTCTGCTTAGGGATTATTTGTGTGGAGAAAAATAAAATAAGATTATAACTTACCTCCTCCAATATTTCATAATATTCTAAACGCTTCCTGTTTTTGGTAAATCTACGTCTTAAAACAGTGTCGCATTGACCAAGCAATTAAATGCCCCTGTATTCAGCTGTTAGTGTTAGTAAAGAAATAGCCGCTTGCAATTTTTACACTCTTTTTGTCATTTGATTCTTTTGATAATGATGCAAACAGCAAGTGCATATAGTTATTTATAACACCTTCTTACAACAATATGCAACAAATTACCACTAGGTATCCGTATGAACTAAAACAAATCCAATATATTGATCAACTATGATATAATAGTATACGTTTGTGAATAACCAATACAATTTCTGGCATTGTATCTTTTATAGTGGTATCCATCCGCTGCTGAACATAGTTCCTGCAGAATCCATAATTATAGAATTTATTTTACTGAAAGTATTTTGTCCACATCAGAATAAATAAAAATCAATACTTTTTCGAATATCAAAAGTATACCTACATGTACAGTGATGATCGGTTTTTGGTATGAACCTCAAAATAGCAAAAAAATAAATAAAAATATCTGTAACTTATGCAGTTGTCTCCCTTGAATTAAACCGACCAAAGATTTTTAACCGGGAGCCCAGTGAGATTTAATCAAAATATTTAGTCCAAAAGGATTGGGGTCTACAACACATATTTTACCCCTAGATCGTTTTGGAAAGCCAAGTCTTAATTTTTGTAATGTGCATATACCTGGGAGCGCCATGCCCCCCTAACCCTCCCATATTTAATAATAATGGGAGTTAAAATTCAATGTCCATCCATAATTTTCTTGCAAACGTTTCATACTTAACACTAAGAAACAGAATGCAAGACTTAAGTGCATACAATGTTGTGCTAATGCTACTTACGAGCTTAATTAATTAGGACTAATTAGTGACCGTAATTAAAATTTAGAGTCCATAACTAAAAGAGCCTAAAAGCTAGCTAACCAAGTCATGAAACCAAAAATATCACTTAAAGGACAATATTTTTGGTGCTAGTCATTATCACATATGTGATAGAACACAGAGATCATTGCTACGATAGATGCGTAATCAATGCTTGAACAATCGGAAGTGACGAACGTAAAAGGAAAACACGAGTTATCCCTCTATATAACTGACTGAAGTGACGAGTGATAACAGATACAAAGCGACAAAAGTTGAACAAACTTGGCTTAAGACTGGTGACAAAGGTCATTTAGCCCAGATTATGACCAACCAAACAATCAATTCAAATTGCTTATCTCTGCTTGCCCTAGCGACACGTGGAAAAACTATGCGACGAATCACGCATTCCTTATAGAAAATGAAATGCAAAAACTGTTAATTTTTCCCAATTATTCTAAATATTGAGAATGGAGGTATAGAACTGGATAACTCTCTGGTTTAAAAAAAATAATTAGTCCATATATGATTCGAAACATTTATGTGTTGTCCATTAAGACTATGCCACATTGGTGAAAAGAAGGTCGAAATCGGAAGGTTATTTTCGGTATAATGCTATCAAGACTGGCTTAAACTTACAAGATATTTGTGCTAGATAAGATAAGATAAGATTGCATCAAAACGTCGATTTAGGACAACATGTATACATATATATTTAGACATAGTCGTATACATTTAATAATATACTATTCAAAAAAAGTAGGGGATATTTGATTTTGGGGGCATAATACTAAAATATGCAAATGACTACGAAAAAAGTCACTATAGAACCTAACAGAAGAAACATTTCCAGTTACATGTGACGCCCAAACGCACCAATAGCTACCGCATGGAATGCAGGTGATGCTTGGGATCATCATGGGGGTCCAACCCAAGATTTGCACGACTCTGACTTTGAATGTTACAGTCATTGTGGCATTGAATTCCAGGGTGGAAACATCAGTTTAATTGTTTTAGTGACCAGAAAACAAATTTTGATATGCGTCGGCTTACCCAAAATGAAAGGTTACGTGCCCTTGGCATGCTACAGATCGGCACAACACAGGCGGTTGTGGCGCGGACGATGAATGTTTCTCAGTCTGTCATAAGCAGGCTATGGTCCAGATACCGTGATACACAATCTGTACAGGACAGACCACGCTCAGGTCGACCAAGGGCGACAACTCAAGCCCAGGATCGATTTATCCGTACCTTGGCCTTGAGAAATCGTGTCATCACAGCAAATCAGATCAGCGCTCGTCTTCAAACAGACACTGGTTTGAGAGTGAGTGGCCAGGCGATTCAGAATCGACTGCATAGGGGTCACCTTCGCGCCCGACGTCCTCGCGTGATCCCTTGTTTGAGAGATCATCACATTCAGGCAAGACGTCGTTGGTGTAGGGATCGTCAACACTGGGATAATCGACGCTGGAGCAATGTGATGTTTTCAGATGAGTCAAGGTTCACTGTTGATTTTTTGGACAGACGTAGGAGGGTGTGGCGTCGTCGAAACGAGCGCTTCCAAGACGTTAACGTCATAAGACATGATCGATTTGGGGGTGGTTCTTTTATGGTGTGGGGAGGCATCACTGTTGCTGGAAGAACGGCTTTACATGTTGTTGCAGGGCGTGTTACAGGCCAGTACTACCGGGACAACATCTTGGCAGTCCATGTTGTGCCGTTCGCACGACGTCATGGCCGCCGTTTCATCTTCCAGGATGACAACGCAAGATGTCACAGGGCCAGGATCGTTACAGGTTACCTCCAACAACAGAACATCACCACATTACCTTGGCCAGCACTGAGTCCCGACCTCTCCCCCATCGAGCATGTCTGGGACATGCTTGGACAGAGGTTACGTCAACGTCAACAACGTCCTGCCAATGTCCAAGAACTTGCTGCTGCGTTGCAACAGGAATGGGACAATCTGGACTAAAATGACCTTAGACGTCTCATTAGGAGTATGCCACGTCGGATCAATGCTTGTTTGGCAAACAGAGGAGGATTTACCCGTTACTGACTTGGTTGTGATGCTGTGGTAACTTTGCTGTTTGACCCCGGGTATCATTTTACCCTTATAATGGTCAGGCTGTGCCTTACTTAGTCTAACGATCATTTGGAATAAATCGATGAATGTGAACTTCATTTCATTTTGTCATTTGTTTCTTCGTCAGTTTCATTAGGTGACTTTAATAACACTTAAAAATCAAATATCTCCTACTTTTTTTGAATAGTATACATATAGAAAACACATACACGTACACATAAGTAAATACAGTCATACAGACATGCGATACTCTTGTTTCATCAATTTTCATTCTATGTGGAGTATCGCTCCTAAATATTCCCAGTTTTAAATAAGATTTACTGTGGAGTGACGTACGGATTTCGGAATGTGATGTTCAACAATGTTTGGTGATTAACCGTAAAAATGGATAAGCGAGACTTGTCTATTATCGTTACAACACTAACAATGACAACTGAAGCTATACAACAGTGTTATTGAAATGAGTTTTTTCTTGGCTCAGGGTTAAGCTCTTTATCTAATCTTTCACAATGACGCTTAATAATTGATTAGAATATACAATAAAACAAATTCAAAATTGGGCATATTACTTCTATCACATTAATAATATGGTGGCTGATTGGTATCATGCCGTGATGTCGTGGTGTCCCCCTTCATAAAGCGACAACCCGACATTACGACATTTTAACCCGACACTCCGGGAACCCGACATCACGACATTTTTAACCCGACAATACGACATTTTTACGCGACATTACGACATTTTTGATGTGGTGGTGTCGGGTGAAAATGTCGTGATGTCGGGTTGTCGTGGTGTCGTTATGTCGGGTAGTCATGGTGTCGGGTTATCGGCCATATTCTTCTCAATACTATGATTATATACTATGATCCTGGTGTTGGTCAAGAAAGTTCCTCGGGATTTTGCAGCGTGGTTTCTCCCTGTCGGCAGTGCAGGACAAAGGGTCTGACAAAGTAAAGTGTCTAGTTGTGTAGATGGGACAAAAAACAAGTTCATGTTTGTACATTGGCGTGCACATAAAGGAATCCCTCACATTCACAGTTGAATTTCGATGAAGTAATGCCACGGTTCATTGAAAATTTTCGTCATAGCACTCTGCATAGCGTATACCTTAGCCTATTATCAATAGCCCGATTGGTGCAGAAAAGTAGGAAAATTGAATGAAATTAAATGGTGTTTAACGTTCTACTCTGACTGGGCTAATGAAGACAGGCATACGGTATATAGTGAATGTACTGTGAGTGAAACTTTGCTCGGATAGCGGCGCTTAGGCCTACTCTTATATTGAATTCCAACTGTCAGGGGGTCTTTTACGTGCTGGCTTATGTACACGGAACCTCGATTTTTCGTCCAATCCAAAAGACAATACGTTATCCCCTGCCAGGCCATCCGTCCTGTACCACTGTAAAGTGGAATCACGCCGGAAAATTCCCGATGAGCTTTCTCGGCCAACGCAGTACAGTGATCGAACACGAGATCTCAACGTCTTACTCGCTGAGTCACCGTGACTACCAGAAAAGTAGGACATTAAACCCCATTTTCGAAGTGATTCCTCTTTGATAGTGCTGCAGTTCGGGGTCTAGCAAGGGATATCGTATAGTCGTTCGGATGGGACGAAAACCCGAGACCCCATTTACATATTGGCGAGCACGTAAAAGACCACCTGGCAGTTGGAATTTAATATAAGAGTAGGCCGTAGCGCCGCTATCCGGGTAAAGTTTCCCTATCCTACACTGTATAGGGCAGCCTATGTCCGTCTTCATTAGCCCAGTCGGAGCAGAACGAAATGAAATGAAATGGAGTTTAACGTCCCACTGTTCTGCTCCGACTGCAGGCTAATGGAGACGGGCTTACGCCATTCAGCGTGTTATGGGGGACATTTTGCTCGGACAGCGGCGCTAAGTATACTCTTATATCGAATTCCAATTACCAAGGAATATTTTACGTGCACGCCAATGTATACACGGGACCTCGGGTTTTCGTCCATCCGACCGACTAGACAGCTGTCCTTGTCAGGCCCTTCCTTTAGCACCCCTGACAAGGGAAAACCACGCCGGAAAATATTGATGAACTTTCTCGGCCAACATCGGGGCGATCCCGCAAGCGCAACGTCCATGCTAGCGAACCAGCGTCTTACTTACTTAGCCACTGTGGCTGACGTAGCAGAATAGTTGAACGTTAAACCTCATTTCTTTTCATTTTCCTACTTTTCCGAACAAATCGGACTATATTGAAGATAGGCATAGGCTATGCAGAGTGATATGACGGAAATTTCTAATGGACCGTGGCATTTCTTCATCGAATTTCAACTGTGAAGTATTCTTTTATGTGCACGCCAATGTGTACACAGGAGTTTTTTTTTTGTCCTATCTA